CGGGGGTTGTGGGGGGTGGGGGGGGGGGGGGGCGGGGGAGTGCAGAAGTGTTATGACGCTGTGGCCAGATAGGGGGTGGGCCCAAATTGGGTGTCTGCTTTACTTTAAATAAAGTAAAATATTATGTCCAACACAAAAGGTTTCAACATTGTCTTCATTTATGGAAGAGTGGGAACCTTTTTAGGGTCAGAGGCCACTGACCCACAGAAAAATTAGTTGGGGCCACACAAGTGAGAAGCAATAAAACAATCCCTCTAAAACCCCTAACCCCCACCGATGTGGTTCACAACTGAGACACCTCACTCCCTGGTGCTCCAGCCAGGAGGACTGTGGTTCAAGGCCTCAGGCCAGATAACTCTTCTGGGGTTCCAGGATTAGTGGATTTTGTGGGCCTCCTTAGGCTCGGGGAGAGAAGGGGAAACGAGGGGGTCAGTGTGTGGGACAGAGCTGCCAGTGAGCGGGATGGAGTGCAGAAATGGATGGGAGATAGGGTGCAGGAACAGTCTGGCCAAGGGAGAGGGGACAGGAGCAGGCTGGGGGTAGGTGCCCAGCCAGGAGGTAAGGTACAGGAGTGGGCTGGGGACAGGTGTCTGGCCAGGGGGCAGGAGTGGGCTGGGGACAGGTGTCTGGCCAGGGGAGAGGCGGGCAGGAGCAGGCTGGGGGTGCAGGGTCTTGGCACGGGAGGCAGTTCAAGGAAAGGGCAACACTTTTTTTCCCCCAGTGTCTGTAATAGGGTTTATTTATGGTAACAGATGCAAGTCACTCCTACGTGGCAGCCAGTCACTGCTCTACATAGGTCAAGGAATAAGCAGCCCAAGGACCGAGCATGGAATGGAGGTAGTGCCTCACTAGGAGTACAGGGGGTCCGGCCAGCAGGTCTGGGCACAGAGGAGAACCAGTCTGCTCAGTCATGCTTCTTGTAGTTCTCCAGGCTGGCCAGGATCCAGCCCACTGGCACCAGGAAGAAGGTGCTCAGGCCGATGAGTGACTCCAGCGGCCCCATGGGGCTCTCCAGCTGGTGCGAGTGCACAACATGCACGGGTGGCACAAGGCAGGGGCAGAGCAGTGCGTGGAGCAGTGAGGACAGCCATGGCAGCAGTGGGTCCTTCACGGGCAAGATGGTGGCCAAGTCTGCTCTTGTGCCCCATGCTGCTCTCAGACTTGCTGTCCAGGCATGGATTCTCACTGCTCCACTGGCTGGATTCTGGCTAATGGAGCAGCAGGAAACATCTCCAGGCAGCACGTCTGTCGTTGCTTTGTTCCTCCAGTCAGGGAGGGGGAAGAGGAGCGTGCAGAGAACCATTTGTGGCTATGGCTTCTTCCCTGATTGCACAGTGAGGCTCAGGGCTTTCTCCCCCACTCCTGGCAGGGAGCTGGTGCTGGCTCCAATCTTGTGGGGGGCGTGAGGCGCTAGCACAGGGTTCCCCGATGCGGGGAAGGGGGTAAGGAGAGGCTGAGCTTGAGTTGAGAGCCATAGGTTGTGGACCCGTTCTAGATTCGGCAGGATGGCCGCGAAACTGAATGGGATAATACAAACAAAAATCCCAAACCGTGGCCACGATCCTGCCTAAACTAATCAAGGTCTAAACTAATTTTTGCATCTTTTAAAGCAGCAGTTCTCAAACTTTTTGGGCTCTGGAGCCCTTTCCATGCGTAAAAATTTATGCGGAGCCCCAGCGGTCCACTGATTGTATGTGCTGTACCTATCGATGTTTCCAGTTTGTCAACCTTGTGGAGTCCCTGGAGATGTCTCGCGGAGCCCTGGGGCTCCATGGAGCACAGTTTGAGAAACACTGTTATAAAGTCATTGCTGAAGTCCAAAGCAAAACTCCTGTTAATTTCTATCGGAGAAGCTGGCCCTAAAAGGAACAACCCTATACATGGTATCACAGAGAACCCTTTCCTGAAAATGCAGTCCAGAACACTGAATTGAAAAGCTAACTGGCTGCTTGATTTCACAATACACTAACTACCTGGAACATTCCTTCATGCCTGGGCTCTGCCTGGACCCCTCCATAAACTCACCTGTTTGTAACAGTCTCGCTGTTACCTGTGATCCCCTCCACCCTGTTTGCTGCATCCACCTGCAGGCTCATCTTGTAATTATACAAACCTCATTATTTTAAAGTCACCTTCTAGCCCAATGGGATCAGTCAAGTCTAAGCAAACTGTTTACAGCTAATTTATTTTATTTACATAAACGCTTTGGGAAAAAAATTAATAGATCCAACAATGCTAAAAGGGTCATTCTTCTGTTTCTGTTTGTCAAAACTCAAGCAGAAGAGAGAGTCAAGTGAGATCCAACCCCTCCAATAAAGAGACAAACCAGTGTATGAAAGGACAGTTTGGTCATAAGCCACCACCGCAGCCAGAGAGCCACATGTCCAACAGGGAGAGGCATCAACACGCCTCATGGCCTTCTGCCCACACTCAGCAGCTGACTCCCTAGAGAATGACCTCACCTGCAGGCAATGTCGATATCGCAGTCCTTATCGATATAACATGGACTTTTTCCACCTAGTTCAAGCGTGACAGGGGTGAGGTGCTTGGCAGCTGCTTCCATGACAATTTTGCCCACTTGGGAATTCCCGGTATAGAAGATGTGATCGAACCTCTGCTTGAGCAGCTCTGTTGTCTCTGGGACTCCTCCATTAATAACTGGGTACAGGTCCTTCATATGCAGACAGAAAAAGCAAGAGGTTTGTGTAACTGACTTGACTTTGGTGCAATGTCAAAAGGCTTGTAACGTTACAGCGCTAGTTGGCTGCAGTTGCATGGCAAATTGATTGCATATACAGGCACCATCCCAATTGGCCTATCTGCCTAGAAATTTCAACATTGCAAAAGATCTCCCCATTCCTGCCGTGAGCTGTTCACAGAGGCGGGCAGGAGCAGGCTGGGGGTGCAGGGTCTTGGCACGGGAGGCAGTTCAAGGAAAGGGCAACACTTTTTTTCCCCCAGTGTCTGTAATAGGGTTTATTTATGGTAACAGATGCAAGTCACTCCTACGTGGCAGCCAGTCACTGCTCTACATAGGTCAAGGAATAAGCAGCCCAAGGACCGAGCATGGAATGGAGGTAGTGCCTCACTAGGAGTACAGGGGGTCCGGCCAGCAGGTCTGGGCACAGAGGAGAACCAGTCTGCTCAGTCATGCTTCTTGTAGTTCTCCAGGCTGGCCAGGATCCAGCCCACTGGCACCAGGAAGAAGGTGCTCAGGCCGATGAGTGACTCCAGCGGCCCCATGGGGCTCTCCAGCTGGTGCGAGTGCACAACATGCACGGGTGGCACAAGGCAGGGGCAGAGCAGTGCGTGGAGCAGTGAGGACAGCCATGGCAGCAGTGGGTCCTTCACGGGCAAGATGGTGGCCAAGTCTGCTCTTGTGCCCCATGCTGCTCTCAGACTTGCTGTCCAGGCATGGATTCTCACTGCTCCACTGGCTGGATTCTGGCTAATGGAGCAGCAGGAAACATCTCCAGGCAGCACGTCTGTCGTTGCTTTGTTCCTCCAGTCAGGGAGGGGGAAGAGGAGCGTGCAGAGAACCATTTGTGGCTATGGCTTCTTCCCTGATTGCACAGTGAGGCTCAGGGCTTCCCTGATTGCACAGTGAGGCTCAGCCCACCCCACCCCACCCCAGGAAGCTAGCACTGGATCCAATCTTGCAAGGAGCACAAAGCTGGATCACCAGAACAGGCTCCCCATTGGGGGAGGGAAGGGCTCAAGGGGGAGCTGAGCTCAAGCTGCAAGCCATATTTGGCTCCTAAGTGAGATATGGATATTCTGGTAAGTACAAATAATAAGCATCAATACTTGTTGCTCACCAGTCAGAACAAGAGTCACAGAAATCCAAGGACATTTCTTGAGGGCAATCCTGGCAGTGCCATCGAATGCCTTGAATGGGTTCAATTCCGCAGTTATCGCACTGTGAAACATATTGAACAAAAAGGTAATGAAAGAAAGTAGTTGTTAAAATACATATCGTTTCATTTCGACCGACATATTGCATATAAAGGATAACAAAGAGCATGATTTTTTTGCAAAAATCACCACCACCTGAAGATTAGCTCTGTGTAATCTTGAAAAACCCACCAGAAATTGGCCCAATACAAGATCTCACCCACCTCTCTAATGTTTATAAATTAACATACCCTAGGAAAGACTACTTAGACCCCAGGTGATCATTCTATTTTCTGCTTTGCTCCCCACTCCTTCATGACTCCCTATTAAAATTCGTTACGACCAAGAACGAATGGACTTAGTTTCCTCTGGAATCTATCAGCACCAGTGATACAAAGCAGTCCTTTCTATCTCTGGGATGAACATGATGCCTCTGCAGTTCTCCAAGCTTAACTAGCTGAAATGCCTGAACTTAGGATACTCTACATGAAAGCAAAACATGTTATCAGTAGACAGCTATATTAGTGACCTTTTAAGGTAAGTTGTATGGAATGATACTACTGTATACATTAGTTTAGGTTTATTAACCAGAAGCATTTCCAAGTTCAATATATGGCATATATGAGCAGGGATTGTATTTCCATCTATTATTAAGGTTACATTACAGTTCCCTTTATAAGACCATTTTCAGTTGCCTATAACTCTGCCAAAAACACATTTAGGCTGAAATTTTCCATGCTGAGTATTAGCCGAAGGCTGATACTTATTTATTCATAACTCAGTCGAAATGGTTTGACTATTTCCAAGAACCAATTATAGGGGGAAAATACATAGTTCTGCCCAAGTTATATATATATATATATATAAAAAAACCAAACTCATAAAAAACCCCAAAACAACCTTTGAGATCTTTTCTATCTCTTGAACCATCATGTATTAGAGTAGAGACTTGAAGGGGGCGGACTTAGGGTCAGGGATGAGACTTCTGCAGTCTCCAGGGGGGAAAAAACCTAGCCACATTTGTCCAATTTATAATCACTGGTAAAAAATCAGTCTTCACAGGCTCAGAAGACACTTCTTCCATTTTGCTAATTAAATCTCTGAAGAAACTTCACTGAACATGCTCTTACTTCTCACAGATCCTAATGCTGACCCACATTGCATATGCACAAGTCCCACAGAGGGACTGGGCATACTCCAGTCCACGGTTACATGCATGAAGATGGACTTTCCCTATAATGGATGTTCTCAGCTGTTCTAGTGGGTGCACTGCAACTGAAAGCAAGTAGTATTTCTTGTGCTCTCAATGACCCTCCCCCTACTGGCAGCCATTTCCTATAGAGGAAGACTATGACTTTTTTGAATGCAGAGGAGACAAAAGCTGGCTCTGGGTGGGTGATGGAAAAGGGGAGACTAGGACTGGAAGTGTGGAGGAGAGAGACTGGGACAGGCTGGCAATATTGGCACTGGGAGCAGACCAGGATAGGTCAGACAAGGAGACAAAAGTAAACTCCCAGCCATAGTCTGGAATATAATATGCGATTCCTGAGTCTCACCATTCCTGTGCTGACAGCCAATAACTATGAAACCCTGTGGCAAACGGTGTTTCATCCCTCTATTTGGGAGTCCCATACAGAAGATTACACTCAATGTTGATTATCATTGAGTCCACTCTGGAAATGAATCAGGGTTATTGTAAAGGAGGCTGGTGTGTCCCAGACCCTGTTTCATTTGCTGCAGATGTTTGTGTATAGCAAATGGGGCAGGTTGTTGCTAGAAGAGAAAGGATGGTTTCATGGTTACGGCATTTGAATGTTATGAAGAACTAGATTTTATCGCTTTCATAGCCTAGATGATGCTACACAAATCACTTCAACTCTTCTTTGGTGGTCACTAATTGTATGTTCCTCATTTTTTGAGTCCCTAGCTCCAGACCCAGGGATCGGATATGTAGAAATGCTGAGCACTCGCAGTTGGAGCTGAAATCAATGGGAGCTGTACTTGGAACATATCAAGTGCTGTATAATGCCACACCATCTGAAAAATAAGGTTCTGACTTATGGATGTCAGCAGTTAACCAGCAAGCATCACCCTTGCTGGATGGTACTTACTGGTTACCAATTAAACTGTGGCCCAGTCCACTTCTGATGGCACAGTGAGCCCAGCTGGGCTGGAATGCCCTCGAACCTCGGTGCTGTGGGCTCAACCAGGACCACTGCACTGTGGGCTGGGGCTGGGGTGCACCAGCTGTTGGGCCTGTCACACTGCAGAATCTTGTTTAAGCTGTTAATGGGTTAAATGTAATGTTTAACCGGTTAACTGATTAAACAGATTTTACATAATTTCAGACTGGTGGTAACCTTTTTATCTTAATCTCTCTGCGCTTAAGTTTCCTATCTATAAAATAGAACACCATCTCCTTCCAGCTCAGAGGGGTTTTGTGAAGATGAATTAACGTGTGTGAAGCACTCAGACACTACTGTGAGGAGCACCACCAAATAAAAGCCCATGAGGAAATAAATAATTCTGAACTTTGAGCAGAACCTGAATAATATGCAGTAAATTAGGCAAGAAGACACTTTCAACAATAAGGGGGAAAAAAGATTGAACGGTGATTCATTAAGTTAGCAATGTCCATTCTGTGCTCTGAATGAGCTAGCAGTCTAGTGGAAAAAATACAGTATGTGTTCATGTAATTAAAAACTTCATTATGATGCACACACACTAGGGGGACAAATTTAAGTTACAAAAACCCTTAATTCTGCCATTTCCTAACTGCTGAATGCCTTATTTTCCCATCTTAACATTTTGAATGTAGTATATTAAAGTATATTAGTAACTCAAATTACTTTGTCCAATAGACCTCTCATGTCTCTAAGAATTCCAGACAATTCCTTTGGACTCCATATATGGGGAACAGCTACAAAGAAGGTTGTTGGTAATAGGCATGTTAAATTGTGGGTAACTGACTAATTGAATAGTCAATGCATTTTGCATTGACTACTCGATAGGGCCTCTCCAACTTTGAAGTTTAGTAACAGTCCTAGAGCTGTTGCGACACTTTAAAAGGTGAAAGTGCCATGTGGAGCCCGGGGTAAGATGGGGACTCCCCACTGACCCTGGGCTCCGTGTGGTGCCGCTGCTTTGAAATGCTGTGAGGAGCCTGACTCTGGGCTCTCATGGTGGCATTTCAAAGAGGCAGCACCGCACGAAGACCAGGTCAATTGGGGAGTCTGATCCTGGGCCCCATGCAGCACTGCCGCTTTGAAATGCCGGGAGGAGCCCGATGCCGGGGTCCTGCAGCGGTGTTTCAAAGCTTCAGCGCCGCATGGAGCCCAGGGGCTGGCCCCAAGCTCCACACAGCGCTGCTGCTTTGAAGTTCCCCCTTTCCTTTCCACCCCTTGCTGCCTCTTTCTGATAGAGGGGAGGAGCGACTAGTCAACAAGCATTTGCTTATCGGATAGTTGACTAGTCCTTCACATTCCTAGTTGGTAATGATTGAAAATCCTTCCAAACTCCAACAGGTATCCTAGGGCATTCCCTCCTTTTCAATGCTGCCTATAAATGGATGGTGCTAGGGATAACATGTATGTTACAGCATGTTACTGCAAAAAATTATGTAATATTTTTTATTATATATCTATCATCCTAAAAAAGGAATTTTTTTTCCTAAGAAACACCCACATGCTGCTAGTCTTAAAAAATGCTCAGTAAGCTCCTTCCTCAGTAATACTAATTGAACACAGTAGAACTTCAGCACTACAGACACTTCCAGAATAGATGTTATTTGTACTTTGAAATGTTAGTAACTCTGAACAGCATCTTCACCTCCTACATGTAAGTGGCTGCCCTGTGAATGGGGATAGGGAGAGGCAGCTGTTTTTAGTCTCTGGCAGCAAGGATGATGATGAGTGAGGCACACTGAGGCATTGCAGCATCAGTGGCTGCATGGTACAAGTTGTGCTCTTTAAAACTGAGCTGCTTCTCCATAGCAAACATGCTCGCACCAGTTTGGGCTCATGCTCTAGGCCAGGCACTGGTCCAAAAAGGAGCTGCTCTCACACCGGCACTGGCAGCTTCTTTGCAGCATCAGTAGCTCAGGCTGTGGCATCTTCTTTCCTGGGCTTAGACTGAGGTTGCAAGTTAGGCCCCCTCCCGGACAAGTGGGGGCCTACAGGAAAGCAGCACAGACCACAGCACTACCCCTACTCTGCCTGCTTGGGCTGGCAAAGCGAGCACATAGCTGTGCACGTGAACCTCAGCATATTCACCTCTTAGCTGATAGGAACATGCAGCCCAGGTATGCCTACCTTTAAGATGCAACACAGGGACACTACACTATTTGCTTTTTTGTGGTCTCCACTGCTACCTGATCGATTGCTTCAAGTTTTACAAGGTGACCAGTTGATGGGTCAGATTGTAACTCTGGTGTTTGTATACTTGAAGTTCTACGGAAACAGATCATCAGTATACCTTACCTTGAAGCCCACATGCTGCACAAATCCACTTTCCGCATGCATCTGCTGGAGCTTTTGCTTCTTCAACTTTTTTAACTCTAGCAGTTCTTTGTATTCAGGTAACTCTCGATAAGCTATTGGGATACTTTCCTCATCCTGTTCAAAGAAGAAAATATTTGGTTTGAGGATATAGTTACTGAAGATCTAGCTTCCTCCCACTTACACATGTGAACACATTTCTTTCAGAAAAATACTGATAACATAATACATAAAGAGATGTCCAAAATTATTTGGGGAAAAAGACACTCAAAAAAATCTATTAATTTATATTTTTAATTATACTGTATTGAACCGTATGCTACAGAACACATATTTAAATATGCAAGATAGCTCACAGATAAATTAGGTTATGCTTCCTAATTTTACTTCCTATTTTTAATTCCATTGAAGAAATGTATGTACTTTATTTTGTGCAGAACATATTTGTGCACACATTAGATTGAAACTAACACATGGAGGACAAAAGTTAGGTTCCTCTCAATACAGAGCTAAGTTATTTTATGTGCAAATATCTCATAACATGGAGTAAGAAATGAGAAAAATGTAGCAAACCTACAGCAAATTAATTAGACTTTGTTCTCTTTACCATGGTTCTACAGAGGAGAAATAGTTTTGTCCAGTGACCATTCAAGTACCTTAATTAGCTGAGAAAATGAGTAAAAAATGATAGATCCCTAAAGATGGTTATATGTGAAGGGTTTTGGACAACATCATATTTAAATTTATTGATGATGCCAAAAGAGGCATCATATTTTCACTGATTTTTTTTTAATCTAAACGTATGGATCTTTTACTTCTTGGTTCAGTAGAGAGTGGGAGTGGTAAAGAGACATCTTTTTATGCCACTTGAAAAATTAAGTCCCAGAGAATGACCACAGTATTTTCCTTTTTCCTCCAGCATCTCTTTTAGTCCACTGCACATAGAAAACACACATGCACACCCTATCTTCCCTCTCCTTTTACCCTCCTTGTTGAATAAACAAGGTCCCACAAGTAGCTTTTGAAATGAATATTTAAGCTCAATGGTCATTTTTGCCATTATTTTTCATGAAGTTTATCCGCCACCAAAAGCTCATACATAAAATCATCTTAAGAGAACCTCATGAAAAATCACTTGCTCTCTTGATTTTGAAATAGTGACTACCTCCCTTTAGTCTTAGCAAAGGTACCAAGCTACCTCACAGAAGATGGTGCCCACCATACTGTTAGAAAGCACAGACAGTTCCACTGGGGTCTCTTTCTCTCAAAATGCCCACCCAACTGAAAGGGTTTCAAAGCCACTGATAGCAATGGGAGATGGCTACAGTTTTGGAAGAGTACAGTTTTCATTGAATTCTCTGTATTAAAATATTTTTAGCCCCTCCTGAAGAAGAAACATTCAGTTCTGAAGAATAATGAGAAATAGTGGCAATTAACACACCTCAAAATTCTTCAAATATAGCCATACATAAACCTGTCCCATCATTTGCTCGTTGCACTGAGATGCCTCACAAAATCATTCTGTGTTGATACAACTGCCACTGAAGATGTATTTTCACTGCCATTAAATAGCCATGACTGGCTTGTGTCAGATGACTTGGGCTCATGGTGCTTGGGCTATGGGACTGGTAAGCAGTGGTGTAAGACAGCTCTGGGACTCAAAGTGGGGAGAGTCCCGGAACCAGAGTTCCAGTCTGAGTCAGATTATCTACACTGAAGTTTTACAGCCTAGAAGCCTGAGCTCCTCGAGCCCAAATTAACTGGCATGGGCCAGCCATGGGTGTTTAACTGCAGTACAGACATACCTGAGCCCTGCTTTGAAAACTGAAATGCAGTTCAGTATGCTCATTTTGTAGCAAGACATGGTATTTTTGTTCTCCTAATACTTTCATTTTGCATTGATTATGGTGGGGGAGGGGGTCCTTTCCAGTAGCACAGCTCACCTGTGTTTTTCTACATTACTGCAAACATGAAAAATTTCCATCTGGAAATTCTGTACTAGAAAAGAAAAGGTTAAGTCAAACTTCCTAAAACAGGACACAGTCCAGCATTACCACTGTAAAATGCAAAAAGCTACTATTAGCAAAATTGAAGAGAAACATTGGTGTTGAAATATGGGCTACCTAAACCAATTATAATTGTGCTATCATGAGGGTGAAGCTTAAGCAGTTTTGGCAAAGGAAAAAAAAAATCTAGATGTAGAACGCAATATAAAATGTGCATTTTATACTGTATGCTACCTGTAGATTTTTCCCCAAAAACGGTTTATGATTGTATATATAAACACACAGAAGAAAAGTATAATTGACTCTAGACACATGTAAAGATGTAAGATGAAAATTTTAACATTTATGTTATTCAATAAATTTAATTATTTAAAAAAAATACTTTTGCTACCTCTTTTCAGATTCAGGTAAAAGAACTTTAAGTTATCCGATATGCTGGTAGGGGATGGGAGAGAGATGTCCCAGAGAGCTCAGAAATTCAGTCACAAGGAGAAGACAGAGCACATTTGAAGAAAAGGGATGTAGCTGGGACTGAACAATGCATCCAGAAGTATTTAACAATTTAAGAAAATGAAAATGCAGTACATGTCACAAAATCACTGAGACAAACTGAACTGATCTGTAATGGAGAGCCACATTACTTTTTGTAATTCTGTGAGCCCATTATCTTCAGCCATTGAATGTATTCCTTATATGAAGTACTGTATACAGAAGTTTTTTATATTATAAGACCACAAACCTAATCAACTGATTACATGACATTGCTGATTGGGTTCTCTCTGTGGACCACTAAGATAAGGTAAGAGCCATCTATCGTATGGGATGCATTTATATCAAATGAAGGATATATTTCTTTTGCTGCAACAGGTCCTCAGGCAGAAATATGGCTACACATTTTTATATGGTATTCTGAAGAATTCACAGTTAATGACAGAATGCTTTTTGAAGATGTGAATGTGCAATTACATATTTTCAGAAGTTGTCTTATTCTACTATGATATAACGAGTAGTCCTGCAGCACCTTAAGCTATATTTACCGTCATCTTCACTATATGGACTCATGGAAAGGAGACCCTTGAAGGATTCCACGGGGATTTCAACAATTTCCACTCCACCATCAACCTTAGCCTGGACCAGTCCACATAAGAGACCCACTTCTTTTACACTACAGTACAATTAAATGATGGCCACATTACCACCCCCTTATACCGGAAACCTACCAACCGTTATTCTTACCTACGTGCCTCTAGCTTCCATCCAGGGCCTATCACATGATCAATTGTTTACAGCCAGGCCCTAAAATCAGTGTTCCCTCTAAGCTGCCTGCCTTCCCAGGCCCAGAAGCACTGCCTGCCCACTGCAGCTGGTGGAATACCTTCCCCGAACGTGGAGCTTGCCAGTGAGGGCCCATCCAACACTCCAGCTCCAGCTCCGGCCCAATAAGCAGCTCCGGCTATGGCCCTGGCCAGGGCCACCAGAGCAGCTGCCATGCACCACATAACTCCAGCTCTGGGGAGGGGCTAAAGCTAGGGCCAGTGCGCTGTGGTGGCTGACCTGCTTTTCCTGGGATAGGTTTCCGGTATAAGGTGGTGGTAATGTGGCCATCATTTAATTGTACTGTAGTGTAAAAGAAGTGGGTCTCTTATGTGGACTGGTCCAGGCTAAGGTTGATGGTGGAGTGGAAATTGTTGAAATCCCTGTGGAATCCTTCAAGGGTCTCCTTTCCATGGGTCCATATAGTGTACAGCCTTAATATACAAATTGACACATTCTCTCAGGGCTTCAACAAAGACAAACTGGATGGGCCATTATAAAATCTGCTTTCCTTACATTCAACACTCAAAATGACACCAAAAATGGGACACTTCCAGCCCACTCAATTAGCCTCATTAACAGCAGGACTACAGTTGACAAGTAATTTCCCCCGCTTCCTTTTTCTGTTATATATTATGAGGATACTCCCTTTTCTCTCCACTCTGCTCATCTGAAGAAGAGAGTTTTGCCCATGATACCATATATATATATATATATTTGTTAGTCTTTAAGGGGCTACAGGAGTAAGGGGCTACTCATTTTTTAAAATCACAGACTAACACAGCTACCCATAAGACTTTTTCCATGGTATAAATTTCTTTTTTGGTTTGGACGTCCCCTAAATTTTCTGTACACAACTCTTCATATTTAAGAGGTGGCAGAAATCAATCTCCTGATCTACATGGCTTATGCAACTGAATTCACAACTGTTTAATAAATACTTGGCAAGGACATTTTGGTAAGGGTGCTTTTTTTCCAAATGCCATGAGTCAATGAACCCAGTGAACAAGATATTTCGCAATTTTTTATTTAAATTACATACCGACACTTCCTCCTCTGCTGCAGCATCCATATGGCTCTGAAAACTCGATCTGTCATCATCCTCATCCATATAAACTGGAGGTTCATGGGATGTCATGAAAGTTGAAGGTTTGAAGAGATGTTTATTAAGAGGATGCTGTCGCCGGCTTGATGACTACAGTAGAAAAATGGCAGACAATGAGCCAATCAGATTCCTCAAAAAAACAATTTTTCGAGTAAGAAATTCTTATCAATAAAACCTGTAGACAAAATCTTTATAATGTTTGTACATGTTTCCCACAAGCTTTCGCACAGCAGCATCCACCTCTAGGCTTACTGCAAGGGCTCTGGAAGCATTCATTTGAGAGATTAGTGCATTATGCCGTGGAGATTGTTTCCTATTATCTGTCCCATACATAAACACTGTGACACACTCCTCTTTTAGATAAACCTTAGTACAGGGCTACTCAACAGGTGGCCTGCGGACCACCGGTTTGTTTGTGGACCATGGTGTGATTTGGATTTACGCAGGGCTCAACATGTAGCCCGTGGGTGTGATCCTTTCAACATGGCCTCCACTGGAAACACGCTCCACAATGGTAAGGCATCTCCCAGGTGGGGTGAGCACTGAAAGACGCAAGTGGACAGGCTGGCTGGAACAGATGAGTACAGGGTATTGGTGTTTTTAGCCCCCAGGGAGGTGGTGCTGGGAACGCCGGAGCATTGTGAAGTGCTGTCTGCTTAGCCTTGTGGGCGAGCCTGAGAGGTGCTGACTGGCTTTCACAGCCCTGCCTCCATCCCACATGGAGCGAAGGACTCCTGTGTGAGGACATCAGCCCTGCTGGGAATCCAGGAGAGGGCTCCTGGGTACCTGTCCTTTTTTCGTCTCTTGTCTCTGGCCCAACTCCCCGCAGGCTGGAGTATTCTGGCTTAGAAACGTTTCTTTTTACAGTAAAATTACTCCAAGAAATGCACAACCTGAAGCTTAAAGTTAAACACCCAAAACACTGGTATACAATTTTCTTTTTAATAAGAAGCATTCAAAATGGCAACAAAGAAAAGACACTTGTTGGGTGAATATAGGGTTTTCAACCCTGTTTGGGAGATGGAATTTGCTTTTGCAGAGATAAATGGAAAAACCAATGTGTCTTCATTGTCAATAGACTATTGCTGCATTAAAGAAAACAAACCTGCAACGGCACCATGAATCTTGTCATCCTGAGTTCAAAGACTTGAATCCATCTGACAGCAATTTAAGAAAAACTAAGATACGTTCCTTACTGGAAGGTTTCCGTGCTCAACCACATTAAGCTGCAGCCCTCGGCATATGCTGTAAGTATCATTGTGGCCGTAGGGCTTCCAAAGTTGAGTAGCCCTGCCTTAGTATGAAACAGTCCTTGTCCTGAAAAGCTTACAGTTTACATAAATAAGATAGACAAAAGAGACTGGGCTCTGAAGCACAAAAGAAGGAAGTGAAAAATTGGCACAGTCAAAAATTAAAGAGAGTTTTGCCTACTGGCAAGCACACTGGCTTTGGAGTTAAGAAATCTGTTTTCTATTCCTGGCTTTGCTGCTGGCTTAGTGGCCTTGGGCTGGTCTAACATCTTGTCTCAGTCTCTCCATCTGTAAAATGGTGGTAATGTAAAGTTGCAAAGCATTTTGAGTTCCACTGATGAAAAAGCTCTGTGTAAGAATATTACCACCATCACTATTATAGTCCAAGGCCTTAACCACAAACCTTTCCACAGTAGTGCTTTCGGAAACAACATATCCAGCTTCCTTGCTAAATTCTGACAGTCTAGCAAAAGCTTAAGCAAGACAAAAGATTTAATGTGTGTGTGTGCTGAGAGAAGAAATGTTGAGTAATATGAAAGTGAAAAGTAGGTGCCTCTGATTCTTAAATAACGTAAAAACATTCTTCTTCCTATGTAACCAAGCCACAGGGTTTATACGTTTTTAAAATAATGGCAAAAAGTTGGAGAGAAAGGTAAAGTTCAAACAGTAATTCTAATTAAGAGGGTAAGTACTATTAATACACACATCAGTAGAGTCCCAACTGAATACATACAAGCAGCCATGTTGTCAAGCACCTGCAGAAGTCTTTGCAGTATCAGGGCCATAATATGTTTTGTCACAGAAAAAAATTACTTCTACTGTGTCTCTTCAGCATCCATTAAATATCTACATTTACAAATGAACATAAGAATGGGCATACCAGGCCAGACCAATGGTCCGTCTAGCCCAATATGTTGTTTCTGACAGTGGCCAGTACCTGATGTTTCAAAGGGAATGAACAGAACAGGATGGTTATTGAGTAATCCACACATCACCTAGTCCCATCAGAGGGAAAGTGACACCCAGAGATAGGATTGCGTCCTCCAGGAATTTAATGGTTTACTGAATCCTGTTATACTTTCATCCTGCATAACCTCCCATGCCAAGTTCCACATGCTGACTTAGAATAATGTGATGTAGTCCTTTCTTTTGTTTCTTCTAATCTTGCTGCCTGTTAATTTTATTGGGTGGCCCCTAGTTCTTGTATTGTGATGGGGTAACATCATTGTGACATTTTTCCTCTTCCTTTTCTCTATACCATTCATGATTTTATAGACCTAATCAATGATTACCCCCTGCACTGACATTTTTCTCTCAAACTGAAAAGTCCCAGTGCTTTTAATCTCTTCCCCTATGGAAGCTATTCCTTATCCCTAATCATTTTTGTGGTCCTCCTTTGCAACTCTTCCAATTCTAGTATATCTTTTTTGAGATGAGTGACCAGATGAGTGCCATATTCAAGGTGTGCGCATACCATGATAATATACAGTGGCATTATGATATTTTCTCTTTCATTATCTATTTCTTTCCTAATGGTTTGTAACATTGTTAGCTTTTGTTGACTGAGGCTGTGCACTGAATGGATGTTTTCAGGGAACTATCCATAATGACTCCAACTTCTCTTTCTTGAGTGGCAACAATTAATGAAGACCCTATCATTTTGCATGAATAGTTGTTCATTACTTTCCAATTGCCAACACTGAATTTCATATTCCATTTTGTCAGTCTCCCAGTTTAATGTGATCTCTAAGTTTTCACTAGGGATGTCAATGTGTAGACATATTATAGATTACAGTATTACCAGATAAGCCTGGTCTTATCGGTTAATCCTGTCAAGTACATGCATTCCCCTCCCTCCTGATAGCTGCTTCTGTATCAGCACCAGCTCCCCATAAGCACTGGGTCAATCTGCTCCCCCCCCCCTATCTCCCTGCCTCGGACCTGCAAATAGGGGTTGCTGCCACCTCGAGTTGCTGCCTCTGTATCAGAGGCAGCAGCATAGGGTAGTAGGAGGTTCCCCAGGAGTGGGGCTGAGAGCACACTGGCTGCCAGCCCTGCCCCTGGAGACTATTTAATAGTTGTTTAACCACTAAAATTTGATGCGGTTACATGACTATTTAATTACATGCTAACATCCCTATTTTTCACAGTTTGCATTTCACCTATCAAATAATTTTGTATCACTTCACTGTTTACCCCTTTCTCCAAATGATTTAATGATATATTGAACAGCACTGAACCCAGAACACATCTTTCGGGGACCCTGGTATTAACATCTCTCCACTGTGAAAACTGACCATTTATTCTTACTGTTAATTTCCTATTTTTTTAAACAAGTTACTAATCCATAAGAGTACTGTCTCTCCTATTCCATGACTGCTTAGTCTGTTTATGAGCCATTAGTGAGGTACCTTTTCAAAGGCTTTATGAAATTCCAAGTGCACTATATTTTCTAGAACACCTGGTCCACACGATTACTGATTCCCTCAAAGGATTCTAATGAGGCGGCAAGTTTTCCCTTTACAAAAAACATATTGACTCATCTGCAACATAGTGTTTTTATCTGTGTGATGGGGCATACCAAACTCTGAGGCCCCGTGCTGGAGGCCTCATGGCTCAGCCAGACCACACCCCAAAAAGGGAATGACAGGATCCTCCAAGATGCCTACAGTGACTGTGTGGAACATAGCCAATTGGGCCCAGAAGCCTAGTATAAGAAGAGCTGCACAGCAAGAGGAAGTTCAGTTCCTTAATGGAGTTGCAGGACAATGGAGAATAGGGTGATGAATTATACCCAGTCATATACCTATTCATGCCTCTCCAATGTTTGCCAACCCTCCCAGACTGACTGGACACCATTCAGTAATGGCATCTGATCTGGGAGAGTTGGCAACTCTAGCCTCTGGCTGCCTAGGCTGGGGCCACAGCTGGGGGCCAGCTACTGAGGCCACGAGCAGAGCCTAGGGCTGCAGCAGAGCTTCCAGGTTTGGTGTCCTGGATCCTGGGGACAGCAGGCTATGGAGCCCATGGGAACAGACAGCAATGGGACCTCACGGGCTGGTCGAGTTAGTGAGGCTGGTGAGACCCCCAAAGGGTGCCAGAGCCAGTGCGGCAGATGGGACCCTGAAGACCCAGCAGGACCTGGAGCTGGCAAAGTCCGCAAGTGGTCAATAGTAGGGCCAGTTCCGAGGCATGGGGAAGCTGGATGCAAAACGTGGGGGAGCTGCAGCACTCCTATATCCCTACTTCCCATATCTATGAATGAAGATGATGCATGGCTGGCTGACAGACAGAGCTAAAGAACCCAACTGAGCACCAATTTGCCTGGCACTGAAATTACACTTAATGGCCTGTTACTGCCAGGATCTATCTTTTTCTTTCTTTCTTTCTTTTTTTTTAAATATGCATTACATTAGCTACTCTCCAGTCATTTGGTACAGAGGCTAGTTTAAGCAATAGGTTACATATCATAGTTATCAGCTCTTCAATTTCACATCTGAGTTGCTTCAGAACTCTTGGGTGAAGACCATCTGTTCCTAGGTACTTACTACTGATTAACTTATCAATTTGTTCTAAAACCACCTCTACGGACTCCTTAATCTGGGAAAGTTCCTGGTCACCTAAAAGAATGGCTCAGCTCTGGGGATTTCTCCAACATCCTCTGCAGTTAAGACTGATGCAAAGAATTCACCACAATAACCATGTCTTTCTTGAGTGCACATTTAGAACCTATATCACCCAGTGGCCTCAAGGACTGTTTGGCATTGGACATTTAATACCAGGCACACTAATTATTGCATCTTATTTAGATTCCTAGAATGTGTATGTAAGTACTTGTAA